CCACAAATTCTCCTGAATCACTCGTACGCACAATTTAAGAACAAATCTGTGTGTACGAATGGTTCTTGCATGAGGCCCATTGTTATCATTAAATTTATGTTTAAAATGTGTTTTTATAAGTCCTCACTTATCCTTCTCAACATTTTTCAGTTCTATGTGATTGAGTATGCAGCCTGTGATGCCACCTACAATGAAATAGTAACCTTTGAGCGCCTGCGACCGGTCAACACCAACAAGGCTGTTACCAAGAACAGCTTTCACAAGTGCACTGTCCCTGTTCCTCAGGACCTACAGGAAGCGTATGTACATCACTACCAGAATATTCATATTAGAAAAGCAAAAGGTCTCCTTTTTAATTATATTTAATTATAAATGTAAATCTTTTTATTTTAACTTTAGCAAAGTAATTGCTTCCTCTGTTACAGGTGTCAGAATGAGAACGCACATAAAGAGTTCAAGAAGGCCGTGGGAGCCTGTCGCATCTCGTACTGCCCAGAGACCAGYGAGCTCCTGATTGTGGTAACTACAGCTGTAACCTCCTGTTGATATAACAGCTATAATACACCTCATGTTTGTGCAGAGGGTGACTCAACTATCTGCTCTTATTTGTGTAATTATTTCTGTTTGTGTGTTTCAAGTCCACCAATGACACAACAGTGAAGCGTGTGTCTTTGCTGAGTGACATGCACCTGCGCAGCCTCAGAACTAAGCTGCTGTTAATGTCACGCAACCAGGAGGCCACAAAACACCTGGAGGTCAGTTAGTATCTAGAACAGATTTTTAAATATTTTATCATGGCACACATAATAAATGCTGTTGTCAAAGCAGGATGAGGGAGGCTCAGTCTTACTGTGTTACGAAATGTGATTTAATTCATAAAAAGTGTTCCTTTTTGTCTCGGGTGCTGTAGACGTCCAGGCAGCTGGTCTCRTCTTTCCAACAAGAGTTTACAGTCAGAACAGATCTGATGGGCCTGGCCATTGGCAGCCATGGCAGCAACATCCAACAGGCACGCAGGGTTGCCGGTGTCACCGCCATCGAGTTGGATGAGGAGACGGGAACTTTCAGGATTTATGGCGAGGTAGGGTAATGCTCAACCAGAAACAAAAGCAAGTGCAGTTTGGTTCATATTTATTTGGACACCGACACAAAGTTGTTGTTGTTTTTAACTGTTTACTGAAACACATTTAAGTTATAGTTGTATAATGGATATAAAGTCCAGACTTTCAGCTTTATTTGAGTCTATCCACTAGGGATGCACGATGACTTATTTTAAGAACCGATACCGATAACTGATAACTTTCTCCTTCTAATGGCCGATAACATGCCAGGAGATAATTATCCAAAATGGGTAAGATCATGACAAATAAACAAGATAAAAAAAGACACTAAATTATATTGTTTGAAATAAACTCTTAGCAAACAAACATTTCTTAAAGTATATCAAACAAAACAATTTCTCAAATGGCCGTCTTTTTTAACAAGACACATTAATTATATATAAAAAAAGACCTTTAACGCTGATCTCAGATTTAAACAAAAGAAAAAAGTCATTCCACAAGTTCAAAACAGTTATGCACTAACACACGTTAGATTCAAATTACATTTGTTTTTATTATTAATATATGATTCAAAACATTTTTCTACCTGAAACAGCTTCTGAGTGTGAATGCGTTATGACTGCATCATACTTACAGGAACACACAGAGAGAGGTAGCGGCTGTTCAGCATGGTAAACCGAGGCTAACAGGTAGCAAAAGCTTCGATCTTTAGCAAGGGTGAACGGCTGGTTGTCAAGTTCCATCATTTCCATCATTAAAGTGCTTGAAATCTGCGTCATCTCTGGCAATTTGTTCGGATTTGTCAAAAGCCTCAGCAATGTTTAAAGTCCTGACGAGTTCTTGAACGCTAGCTTGTTGTTGTTAGCATTTTAGCAGAATGGACCTTGTGCTGCGTTCAGGAGATAACAGACTTCACATGTTCGCAAATTGGGAGTAGTTTCTCTGACCTTTTTATGTTTATAATTATAAAGATTGCATGTAACATACATGGTTAATTGGTGAAATAATATTAATTCATAAAATGACTGGTTGTTTTTCAGCACGGAGTATTCTAATAATTTTTCTAGTGAGAAACTTATTTTTTCTGACGTTACTTGAACGTTGCTCGGGTCGTGCCGGATGGGAAGCGGCTTGACCAAAAAGGATAAAAATAAAGGAGTGCRCYCACCGCTGCGCTGGCARACATATACATATRTTATCGGTTMTGTTTGTTATGAYATCGGCCCGATAAGTATGACGTCATAATTTCCTGATAYCGGRCCGATAACTATCGTGCACCCCTAGTATCCACATTAAAATTGGATGACTGGTTTATGAGTTCAGCTCCTTTTTAAAGGGACCAAAAATAATTGGACCTTTGACTCAAAAGTTGTTTCATGGACAGGTTATGTCATTCTCAGTGAAGCAGATAAAAGGCCTGGAGTTGATTTCAGATGTGCTGCTTGCATGTGGAAAATTTTGCTGTGAAGAAAATGTTTGGTCGAAGGAGCTCTTCGTGCAGGTGAAACAAGTCATCCTTAAGCTGCAAAAAACGGGGAAAAAACATCAGAGAAATTGCAGTAATATTAGAAGTGGCAAAATCTACAGTTTGGTACATCCTGAGAAATAAGGGAAGTAATGGTGAACTCATCAATTCTAAAAGACCTGTCAGGGCATTAAAAAGGAGGAAACAGCGTCTGGTGATGTCCACAAGTTCAAGACTTCAGGCAGTCGTTCCCAACAATATGTTTTCAACCAAATATTAGAAATGAACATTTTATTTACAATTATTTAATTTGTCCAATTACTTTTGAGCCTCTGAAATGAAGGGATCGTGTTTAAAAAATGCTTCAGTTCCTCACATTTCTATTTGAACCCACTGAATTAAAGCTGAGAGCCTGAACTTTAACTGTGTCTGAAATGTTTGGTTCATAACTCTGTGACAATGGACAGAACCAAAATTAAGAAAATATTGTCTCTGTCCAAATAAGTATAGATCTAACTGTAAATACACAAAAAAAGCACAAGCTYGGTTACATATAACTACAAAAACTCACAAACTCTTTATACGCCGCACCCATTAACAATTTTTATTTTCATTTAAATGGACTATTGTGAGTACGAGGAAAAGTTTACAGTCGGTACTGTAACAATACAGAATAAATGTGACTTAAAATCAAAGAACATTTTTATGATTTGAAGTTTGTAAAGTTTCATGTTTTCATAGTATTGGTAGTACAGGAAAAAAAAACTTTACTAAATAAATATAATATCTGTGCCCTAAAAACAAATATTTAACTTTTCAGCTGTACAATAACACACACCTTACCCCGTTGTTTACTTTGTAGAAAACATTTTATTGATATTTCTTTGGGATTAAGTGATTCTTGATGTGCAGGTTTAATACTTACTTTGGGCTACATGTTTTTATTTAGACCGAAGAGGCAGTAAAGAAGGCCAGGAACTACTTGGAATTCGTGGAAGATTCTGTCCAGGTGCCACGGAACCTCGTTGGTATGTTTGTGTTTTGTTAAAAAGTAACTGTTGCCGCATTCATAGCATTTCTGTACCATGGAGAACGTAATRAAGCTAAGAAAATGGCCCAATAGTTCTTTCTACTGTGGTTATTTTCTTTGGCTCTGTTAGACTTTTTTTTTTTTTTTTTTTAGCACTAGCCTCTGATTTCCAACATGTTTCTATGCTTTGTCTGTCTAGGCAAAGTCATTGGTAAGAATGGTAAGGTCATTCAGGAAATTGTAGACAAGTCTGGTGTGGTGAGAGTCAAAATAGAAGGAGACAACGACAACAAACAAGCCAGACAAGAGGTAAGCCTACTATTGCAACGTGCATTAGCACTTAATGTGTTGAACAACTTTATTTAAATTCTGCACAGTCTCTTAGTAGTCAGGCTCATACTAACTTGCACGCTGTGATTTTGTGTTTTGTTGACGCAGGGAATGGTCCCGTTCACCTTTGTTGGTACGAAGGAGAGCATTGGCAACGTTCAGGTCTTGTTGGAGTACCACATTTCTTACCTGAATGTAAGACCCCAGAGTTTGTGTTGAAATGGGCTTGCCTTAGTTCCATGTCTGTTTATGTTTTAGTGAACTTTTTTATTTTAAACTGAATGCCATAGTCTTGTAAGAGCTTTTTTTTATAACTCCTTGCTTGCATGAGGTTTAATGGACATCTTTTCTCAATGCACATTAATAGCTTTAAGTTTGTGCTATGATCAGGTTTAGTAGAGTAAAGCTGGAAACATACTCCCGCCGACGGGTCGATGTCCGGCCACGTGGTTGTTTGGCAGTCGTTTTCGCACACACCTTTCATAGTCCCTGAGACACCCCGTGCCGAGCTCGGGAAACCCCCCTCCCGCTGCAGCATACGTCATTGCATGGAGTTCTCCCTGCAATGCAGCCGACAATGCAGAAAAAAATCACTCACCCGACGTATTTATCCACATCTGTCCTGGTTAAAGCTCCACAGTTTTTATCAGTCAGATTCCTCTGTGC